TCATACTATGATTTCAATTTGATACTTTTTTAAAGATCACTACGTGATCTCATGACATGAGTATCAGATGTACACAAATGATGTACAAATTATGTTGCAAGTTCTTGACATGATGTTGATTATTATTATTAAATGAGGTATTTTTGTGATATTATAACATGTCTACATTCTGAAGTGTATATGAGCCCGCATCGATGTCTATTCTTGTCCTTATGCTTAAATATACATGAATACAATATGAGCTCAGAATGAACACATTTTTCTATCTGAGATGAGACCATATATTAATTTATTCAACCAAATCGGGTTCTGTAATATCCTTGTAATAATGCAAGAAAGACTTAAAAAATTGTTTGTTGACTTAAACAAATGTTATATTTATGAGGCAAAGTTTAGTAAGTGCAGATACAATGAAAACTGTAATCTAGGTGCACTTTAGTACAGGTTACTTGACCCAATATTCCTGTCTTGCGTCCGCGCGATCCGTGCGTTAGTATTCGTGCCTCTCACCGATTTGCAAACTTCGTCAGTTCGTATTTTGATGCGTAGAACTTAAACCTGTAAAAAAGAAGTGTCGCTCTTAAGCGGATTAAAAGTTATGAAATGTTGAAAAATGACATTTGTGTTGTAGGTTAGGAAATCTATTTTGTCGACGATGCGATGTGGGGTTAAAAAATCTGTCAGTGCATTGTTGATACTTCATAACTTTTAACCCGCTTGAGAGCGACACTTTTTCTTGCAGAATCGTATTCTACGCATCAAAATACATGATCTGACGAAGTTTCATGCAAATCGGTGAGGATTTCCTCACCTTCATAATTACCTCCTCTGCTTCATAATTACCACTATTTTGAGGAATTATTTTGACATCATAAATGAAATTTTTATATGTTGACATACTTGAGATATCTTAAAGATATCCCTTTTTGAGAAATCATTTTGACATCTTTCTGTGATACCTTTCGGTCTTCAAAAAACGGCGCATTAGATAACATTTTGTTATTATTTCGACAACTTTTCGAAGCCTCTTCATGTTATCAGATTCCACATTTAGATATCTTTGAGAGATGTTTTTGATTACTTTTTGCCCAGTGGGTAGAATGTATAAACATGAATGGACAAATTTGATACATAATATATAATTATGTATAATTTTATATAATTTTATATAATTATATCTTAAAGATTTTTCATTGGGTGGCTTTCAAATAATGCGATTGAGTTTGTTAGAACTGTATATGAATTTTAGAAACATAAATACAAACTTAAGGATAAAATATACTTCGCATAAATTTATTTATTATTGATACTAGTGAACATTTTATATATGAAAAACTATTTTAACACCAATTCCCTTTCTTTGCCCTATTATATCAATCTATATAATTAATTCCACAAGATATAAATAACTGTGAATAATAATAAATTAAACAATTTATATATAAATATGTAATTCAATTATTATATACTCACTGCATGTACTGAATATAGCCGCAAAAAGTAGTTGCTATAAACAAAACATTTGTAAGGGCTTAGACAGCGAACAAGATGTAAGCGTCGTAGTCGTAGACGTAAAATAAAGCAGAGAACAACGTAAACGTAAAGTCCATTCTACAATTGCGTAAGCGTAGTTGTGAACATAAGAGTCAACCAATCCGAATGTTTTATTCACTGATTGCTTTACTCTGATTGGTTGTCGTAATCACTTACAACCACTTACATCCACGTTCACGCAATTGTAGAATAGGCTTTACTTAAATTTACGATTACGACGCTTACGTTCTCTGCCCTAATTCCTCACGAATTCTCAAAATGTTCTAGGAATTAAGTCGCGAAGTATTCGCTATAATGAAGTCCTAAGGAATATTTTAAGACGAACTTATTGTGGTTAATTCTTCAAGAATTCTTCATATATTCATTTTTCTAGTTCTACATCTATTCTTTAAAATTAACACAGCCAATCGCAGCACCGTGTGATTAGAGACATTTGTAGGGTCCCTTGGAACAGCGACTTGTGATTGGACTGTGTCCAATTTCCCCGTGTCCAACTGATATACCCCCACATGGAAATATAATAAATAGTACACGTATATGCGCGGGGGAGAGGCTCCGCCCCTCCCCCCGCACTCCCTCTCAAAAAACCCAACCCTAACCTAACCCATCTACTGAAACATGGTAAAAAGTATGCATATACTGTTTGTGCATATACGTATACTGTTTATCATATTTCAATAGATAGGTTAGGTTAGGGTTAGGTTTTTTAGGAAAGGAGTGCGGGTGGAGCCTATCCCTCGCGCATATACCCAGATAGCCAAACCAGATAGCCAAACCAGATAGCCAAACCTGCGCGAACAGATTTCGAGCAGGCTTGCTATCAACTTTTGATGGCAAATAGATAACAAATTTGATACAGGATTTGTTATATTAAATCTTGCTGCCAAATTGCCGCCAGATATGTGGCAGAGCTTGTTGTTGGATAACTGCTGCAGATTTGTAGCAAAAACCGCGCAGAGCTTGTAGCGATTTGACGGCAGGTTAGCGGCAGAAACCGCGCAGACCTTGCGGCGCTACAAGCTTTGCACGGTTTTTGCTGCAAAAGCTGCAAAGCAATTGTCCGACAGCAAGATCTGTCGCCAAAACCACATGGATGTGAAATGAAACATCTTATTTTCTATTAATATCCCCAATAATGTTTTAAAAACTGGACTTCTCAGATAGAGTTTAAAGTTATTATAAGTTTATAACCGTTCGAAATAGGACTTATGTTTATATGAACTTTTTAATTCAGAATGATATAAAAAATGGTTTTCTGAAGTATTGACCTTCAGTCCTGAATCACCCTGTAGAATGGACTACTAAATGAGAAGATGGAGGTAGGAACAGATGTAGAGTGAGAGACAGACAATAGTAGGACATTTTCAGTCTCTGTTTACTGAAGTCTGATTGGCTGATAGGCAGGAATTTCAGCAATACTGTATCCTGCGAAAGTCAGGCCCCAAGCTAGACGCGAGAGTATTATTTCACACTACATCTCTATTACGTATTACGTTGCCTCGAAAATATCATGTAATACAAAAGTTAAGATGGTACATTTTTGTCAGTTAACCAATTAATAAATATTACTGCATATATAATATCGAGTTGTATTTCTTTTTCTATCTACCTATTTACATATATATTCATATTTATTCTCATTTCAATATTAATGAAATGTTATTATATATAAAACAGTAATATTTTTTAAATATTAAAAATGCTACACTAGACTAAAATCACAAGTAACTATTTAAAACATTTTTTATAAATTATCAGTATAATTAATAGCGTGTTCGGCTGGCCCTGGGTTCCCTTATAAAAAAGTGAATAAAAAACCCATAGGCCTATGGCCGGTATTTATAGTCAGATCTTATATTTAAGATCAACTTAAGTACTGTCTTAAGATGTCATGAACCAATCACAGAGCCGTATTCACATCTTAAGACATTACTTAAGACGATCTTGAAATAAGATTCGACTATGAATACCGGCTATAGTGATCAATTGTAGCACTAGCGTCGCTAGCGCAATATTCGTGAACTATTATGGACATCTAAACTGCTCTGTTTTATCTACATCTTAGCAAAAAGTAATAACAATTTTTCCTAACAAATTATACTTTTCTAAAACTTCTAAGAATATTTTTGAAGATTGGACGCTATTCCTTAGAACATTTTGTAATGCGCAGACTTTTTTTGTTTTCATATGCATCGCAGAAATTTTTTATAACCTACGAATTGTACTAGCAAACAACTTAAAAATTTTTTTCGTTTTCGATGAAAAGATTATGTCTGCGCAGTGTGTTTCAATAAGTATTTTAAGCATGCAAAAGCGCTTTTTTATCGGTTCAGTCTGGACGACGTAAAAACTAAAACAGTTTTATAGACACTCCGACATACCCTTAAAGTGGTCGATGATTTTTACACTTTAATATTGATGAAATAAATTAACTGAAAAAAAGTAAAAAAGTTAAGGTTAATATATAAAAATTAACTAAGTTTAAGTTAAAAATTAACTTATTTAAGTTTAACTAAGTTACGTTAAAAGTTACTAACTTCTTAACTTCTAACTTAACTTTTAACTTTTTTAGAAGTTACTACCCAACCCTGTTATCAGTTATAATCTATTGTAACTTAATAATAATAAATCATATACTTTTATTGATTTCATATTATTTTTTGAGTTTTATTTTCTATAAATTTTTCTTGGATAAGGATGCTTTTTCAGAATGTTTTTTTACAATTTTTTACAGAAATTTTTCTTAGATTTTTTGTTGGATTTCATCATGGTTTTTGTATTAAGTGTGTTATTAAGTTGTTTTTTATTCACTTTTTTATAGGGATTTAGTTAGATTTTTCATGGAATTTTTGTTAAGATTTTTGTGGAGGATTTCTATTAGGTTTTTTATGTAAAATTTTTATTAGTTTGTTATGAAGGTTTTGTTAGGTTTTTATGGAAACATATTTTTATATGCAGTATTCGTAAGGAAGAGAAACGTATAATTATATATTTTTAATAATGAAATAGTTTTATTTAATTATATCGTTAAAGTATTTCAAGGTAAAATAAAAATTAAATTAAAAGAAGATTCGGTAATATTTAACTTTCCACTACATTCTTTTATTTTAATTAGTTCCTAATATTTAACTTTTTACTAATAAAAAATATTCCAACGTTCTTCACTAGAATTAAAGTTTAAATATTTTACAGATGTGTGTTACAATTATCATAATTGCAATGGTTTTACAACTGATTTTATCCACAGTATGTTTCTTAATATAAATAATACAATTATAATATTATATATTAAAAAAGTTTACACGAACCTGAATATTTATTTCACATTAATCCGTCATTAATGCAATCTAGTCATTCTCAGATTTTCTACGTTTTTTTGATCGTAAGCTTTCGATATCGTGAGGACTCGGAGTTATGTGACTACGTTTTCGTTTGACGCTATTTTCGCTTGCCTCGCTGCTACTACTCGCGGCAGTTCTTGTCTCTCTTCGAAACGTTCCTTCTCCTGTTACTTGTACTAATATCTGAAAAAAAAAATGCATAATCTCAAGATATATATCAGGTTACTTTGTTATACATATTTTGATAAATATCACATTATTATTTTACAGCTAAAGAAACATATAAGAGAAAATTTCGTATAAATTGTGTTATAATATATATTGCGTATTTTATTTTACCTGCATATGCTGTAAACATTCCTCTTGCATCGATACAGCCATTTTATAGATAAACGTGTCATGTTTATTATACATAATGGCATTTTGAAACATGAGCATGACATCCCGCTGAAAGTGCATCGTCGATCTAATTGTACCATTATCGATGTTTTTTTTAATAGTTGATAAATCCATTGGTCGGAAGATCACCGTGTGATAACCAGGAGCTTGGTCCTCTGTGATTGGCCTTAAAAATATCGACGCATACTTGTGCGTAGCCAGGCGATTGTAAACAAGCATAACTGCCTTCTTCCAGGCACGATAATCCGCTCCTTCGCCTGTTCCTTCATTCTCTGGTTCACTGTCCACAGCGATGTTTTGCTGCCTCTTCGAATACGTCTTCATTGCTCGGCCACCGCTCAATTTGCTCAACGACGACTCCTCTTCATCTAATTCTCCGGTTTCTTCTCCGGCGCTCGTCACTCCGCATTCAATCTCTTTTTTCACGTTCTGCTCGCTATCTGTGCTTTTTTTAGTATCCTCTTTCTCTTTCTTTTCCTCTTTCATTTCCACAGTCTCATTCTTATCCTCCTTTGGTAGTATATCAATAGCAGTTTTTACTTCCCCATCCGCTTTCGGTTCCTCCAATTCAAGCTCCGCGCACTCACTTTTCTTAACACTTGTGTTCTCTATATCAGTCGATACTGTCACAGTTGGTTCACTCTTGACGCTCTGAATATCTTCAATTGTTATCGCATTAATGGTAACATCCTCGATCCTATCGGTTGGCTCGACTTCTACTTTTTTTACCTCTGTGTCTTGCAAGATGGAACTTGTGGTATCCTCCGAGGAATCCTTCACCGCTTCTTCTTCCTCTTTAAACTTTTCTGTATATATTTGTAATGTTTCTACGGCGATCTCCCCTTCTTGCAATTTTATGGAGGATTCTTCTCTTATATCTACGACAATCTCTTCTTTTTTTATCAAAACAACTGGTTCTTCCTTGAACGATTCTAAGGACTCGGTTGTGCTTTCGACCGTGTTCTCGATAATTTGCTCCAATGTCGCTTTCTTCTTACTTTCAGAACTCCGACTGCTCTCTCCCTCCTCATCATCCTCCAGGATCAAACTGATATCTTGCGACTTTTCCGTGTCTTCGGTACTGGGTAAATCATTTGTTATCTCTGATGACACGCTGACGACTTCCGCGGACGATACGTCTTGCTGGTCCCCTGTTATTTTTGCCAGATGCATTTCTAATTGATCTAACCCAGCGTTATCTTTACCTTCAACATCTTCCGGAGTCTCCTTTCGTTCTTTGATGGATTCGATAGAATTTTTGTTATTAGAGATCATTTCTGTTCCTCCCTCTTCATCTTCGTTTTCCTCTTCTATTTTTTCCTTCTCTTCGGCCACAGCTCCAATTATCTTTTTCGAATCTGGAAGTTCATTGTATTCGTTTTCTTCTGTTTCCACCACGTTCAACGTAGTGTTCAAGGATTTTGTTTCCGGGCCCAGCTGTTTCCCTTCTATGTCTTTCTTGTTATTTTCTTCATTACTGTTCTCTTGTTCCGGAATAAGCTTTTCAGTTAAGACCATTCTTTCGTCGCAGTTATTTGTCACGGATTTCGTCTCCTCTGGCATGTTGGACACGACCTCCGATATCTCAGTGATGATAATTTTCGGTTCCTGAGGCTCTATAGCAACGGTGCCAATTATCTCAGCGATATTAGATGTGCTAGAATCGATTTCTTCAATTGCCATTTCGCTTTGCGGTGAATTAGACAGCGATACAGCTTCGTCCACATCTCTCGGCTCTGGACGTGACTCCATAGTTACTGTTATTGGGATTTCTGCCACCTGTTGCGACGTTTGTACATTTAAGCTGTCAATCACTGTCGCCGTCGTCGATGCTGAGTTGCCACTTGCGTCTTGAAGAGTCTGCGGACTACGCGCGGTGATCTCTTCTTTAATCAGTTCTTCGATGTCACCGATAATCTCGTTTATCTCATCTTTATCCATTACATCTGCCATTATGTCCTTACGTATGACATCATCTATATTGTCTATTATTTGCACCATATTCTCCGAAATTGGTATATTAGTGGTAGTGGTCGGTATGGTGGTGATCGCCAATGCCGTCGGAGTAATATTATTTGTTTCTACGTTCTGAATGGCCATTTGATGATGGACAACGTTTTGTGATTGTTGTACTTGCGGGAAATTGTGCACCTCGGCTGTGGCTACGGTTGCTTGCTGCGTCGTTTGGGGTGCAATGATCGTTGCGGCAGATGTCGTTTGTAGATTTGGTAGAGGCCCTCTTTGCGAACTGGCAGGCATTTCTAGCAGCATCGAAAGCGTAGGTGCTCCGACAGATGGTCGGTCCAGCGTTGCGTTTGGCACACCGGCTATCGCCGTCGTGACTAACTGTTGTAACTGCGGCGATACGTTTTGCACTAGTTGAGTGTTCAGTATCTTGGAATTTGATCCGAGTAGACTGGTGATAGTCGGAGAGTTCGACTGAACAGACGTCGATGTGGTGGTCTGCGTTTGAGTAGTTGGGCTCGGGGATTTCAATAAACTCGTCAATAGAGGCGATCTACCACCTCGGTTCTTTTTCTCGTCATCCTCCGTCAAGGGTTCTGCTGAAGATTCCTGCACTTCTACTGCCGTGCTTTCTAAGGATTTACGTTGGCCTCCGATAACCGAGGGAATAGACGATAAGTTTATTTCCTGCTTCTGCTGTCGTTTCGCTACCCATATCGAATGAGTCCGCGTTTTCTGTTCCTGTTCACGTTCCTCCTGCTGTATATCTAGCCACATCTTTTCCAATTTTTCATCAGTTATTGTACCGGATGTGAGTAAATTCATATCTACTTTATGTCGTAGATATTCATCCCTTTGAAATGCAAGAATTTGACTCAATTCTGCTATTCTTTCCTGTGTCAGTCTTCTAACTATGGATTCATTAGCAGTTTCGCCACTCTCTCGTTTCTTCCTTCTCGGTGTATCAGCATTTTCAAGTAAATATGTGTACTGACTGGCACATGACCTCTGAGAAAACCAGTCTGGTGGCCTTGGCAATTCTTTTTCAACAAATGGCTTTAATGATCTAGACACGCTCATCCAATTCTGGTCCCCAGATTTCAATACACTTGATGCAAGGCACAACTGTTCTCGTAAGCTCCATGTTTCAAAGGGAGATACACGTTTTATTTTTAATCCTAAAATTTGTTTTGAATTAAATAATGCATTTGACACATTTTTATATTTATTAAATATTAAATATTATATTATTATTTATTAAATAAAAAGATAAATGCTGTCAAGTATATTTCTTCTCTATTGATTTTTGATATGTATATGTAAAATAAAACAATATACTTGTATAATTAAAAATGATTAGACATACAAAACTATGAAGTACATTATTTGTCTGTAATAAAATATTAAAGAAAAAGGTTTATATTATATTTGGTCTGTCATATATTTCATCATTAATATACATTCTTATATTAAATACAATTGGTCATATAAAGTTAATAAAATAAAAATTAACATGCAGATATTTGTTCTTTACTCACTTCTATAAGCTTGTATAATCTTTATTACCATATTATTTTTTACCCAGTATTTATATAAAACTATTCTTCCTCGAAGAACTTCCTAAACTATAGTCTGTTCTTCTCAGCTACACTGCTGAAGTGATAATAAGTTTCAATGAGACAAGTATATTTTCTCTCATTCTAACTTATTTTACCAGTTCAGCAGTACAGTTGAGAAAAACAGACTAATAGTGTACACTAGTATAATAAGTTAAAATAAATTATATTTGTCTTACTTAATGTGTTAATGGCTACATTCAGCAGAGAATCAACCTTGTAACTGTTCTAAAATTTGTAAAATTGATTGGTAAATGTTATCAGACTTAGTTCGGATTAAGAGCATACAGCAATCAAATTCACTTATTTTACAACAGTTACAAGTTTTCTCTAAATGTAGCCAATATACCCTAGTTCAAAAAGTTCTTCAAAAAAGAACAGGCCTCATGTCTTATTGAAAAGTATAACAACATGTAATAACATTAACTATCAACATAGCACAATGACTATATAACAAAACTGTCGCGAAAACTTTAATCTAAAAAATCAAAACGTTAAAAATAAAATGGCTTTCTTAACCTATAACATACTAATATATATTTTGATTGTTATATATTGAATACATAAAATAAACTTACTATCTTGCATCGATGACATTTTTCTTTTGAAACGTCCAAAAACTTCCTTATTTATAAGATATGTATATATTTGAGAGAAACAAAACGGTTGTTTATTGTCTCTCTCTCTCTCGAAATGTATACAGGCCTTTGAGAGTAGGCCCTTTCACCCAGCGAGATCTATACATACTGGAGTAAGTCATGGCGTTTGGTGTAGAAGCTATCTTTCTCTAAGTTTCGCGATTGGTTAAGTGTAAAGTGAGACAGCTAGCGTGTGCCATTGAGAGGCGTTTGGTGGAGAGGCTATCTTTGTCTGATGTTCGCTGATTGGTTAACTATAAAGTGAGACAGCCTTCCCACCAACCTATGTATACTGTAGGCTGACGGCTCACTCCAATATGTATAGAGCTCATTGCTTTAACCACTTGCGTAGATAGATATAAGTGAACAAGGCGTTGTTTATTGCTTGATGCTTCTATAATGGCTCTTGCACATAGGACGCGGTAATGCTTGCCGCGCGGCAGAAATTCGCGTGACAGCCAATCAATATGCTACTTTCTGTAATAACCTTCTAGCTCTTACGGAAAAACAACATATTGATTGGTTGTTGCGCAGACTTCCGCCGCGCAGCAAACATTACCGAGTCCTGTGTGCAGGAGCCATAACTCGTAAAGGTGCAATTACATGGGAGCGTTCGAGCACCGAGTGTCAAACCCGTGCATAGCATCTTTGCGCAAAAATCTTAGGCTAAGTTTCCACTTAGCGCGTCACGCGTCGCGTCGTCTGCCTAGGTTACGAGTTAACCAATCAAATCCTCTAATTGGGATGACGCGCGCGCGACGCACAACCTTATGGCTCCTGCACACAGGACGCGGTAATGCTTGCCGCGCGGCGGAAGTTCGCGCGACAGCCAATCAATATGTTGCTTTTCGTAATAACCTTTTAGCTCTTACGGAAAAACAACATATTGATTGGCTGTCGCGTGGACTTCCGCCACGCGGCAAGCATTACCGCGTCCTGTGTGCAAGAGCCATTAGGGTTCAGATTCCACACCCGGGTGTATTCTATTACTAGAAGTGCTATAGTATATGTGACATATACTATAGTGTTTCTAGTAATAGAGTGCACCCGGATGAAGAATCTGAACGCACCTTAGAGCATATATATATGAAGGGGGATTGCTGGCACAAAAGTGTCTCCAATACTGTGCGAGAGAGAAAGCTATACATTTCTATTCGTTTTCTGTGCGCATGCGTTGAAGTTGTCAAGTTAGGTTAGGTTATAGAGCTGACAGGAGATAAAAGTTATTTGTTTTCGTCTCATAGAGCTTTGAGAATGTTTACAGAATTTTGTATTAATTTTTTAGTACTTCAAGGAAATACAAGAAAACGCAACTTTTGTCTGAAACATTATTTTATACCTTTTACAGTTTTCAAGATATTTCGATGTCTCAAGTTAAATACCCCACCCTGTACACTTGGGATTAATATTTATACATAATTATGAAATACACAAGTGATTAATAAACATTTTATTTATGTCTAAACTGTATTAATTTTGTAAATTTATGTCTAACATAATGTTTAGGTACCATATATGTAACGCATTTCGCTTCGTGATATAAACGTAAATTTATATAAATTTCAATTATATTTTTAATAAGCTCAGTTTTGTGGTTGTTAAATAAATCTTGTTCCATTATATATGCAATCATTGCATTGTTATTAAAAACTGAATCGCAAATTTTGCTAAAAATTTTTGGTATCATCTTAATATTACTCCTAGTACGAATAATATGATAATTTGCTCTAATTATTGATTCAGAAAATTGTGTTATTTTAATTACATCTTGTGAGGGAAAAATCAATGAGCTTCTATTTTTTAAATTAATTAATATTGAGTCAGTTGAGTTCGCAGTAACAAAATTTGCACATATATGACAAATATTTCCTAGCAGCTTTCTAATAAATCCACTGATATATTTGACCACTTCGTCGACATATGGCCTTAGTGACCATAATATTGACAAATAATCGTGATCAAATATATCAGCAGATAATTTAATGTTATCCACATTTGTGACTAAACCATTACTTACATTTGGTCTTTTTCCTGACGATACATATAATATGTGTATATCAATAAGACAGTTACCCTTATCTGAAGCTTCAATTTCATGCCTTATCAGTAGTCTTTTATAGCTACTTTCAAACTGTTTCGCATTAGGATTATTATTAAATCCTCCTCTACTATGTAGCGCACTGAAAAATGTTTCTATGTGATTTTGGTTAAGTTTATATGTTAACAAATACATAAGTCCCTTCTCCTTAAGGAGATTAAATAGTTCAAATATTTGTTAAACAGATAATGAAACCTAAGAAACCAGTTTTTCTATTAATAAAATTGGTTGATTAGTAGAATCTTTCAAATGTTTAATGTATTGAAGTATATGATCTGCATAATCTTTTAAATCATTGAAATTATCATTTGTTAAAGCTATATTGTGCTTACTATTTTTAGAAAATTTAGACCTAACATTTAATATATCAAATGCATTATTAAACATTGAACAGAATACAGCAGTCTCATCTGGAAGATTAAAATGCATGGGTACACATTGATTAACAAATTTTAAAGCTGTACTGACGCTCTCACTAAGTATTTGGGTGGCTAGTTTTACATTCATTTTACTATTTTTAAAATTGATATGTTTTTTTCTCAATTTTGTTGGCAGCTTTTAAACCCTCCATTTCTTCCAGTTTTTGGAGAGAAACAATATTATTCCAATAAATATTTTTTTCATGGTAACGTAGAATTAATTTATCTCCCAAAGTATTCCTGACTGTTTTAAAGCATGGCATGGGTCTAAAAAACAGAACATTTTTTCTTTCGTTATGGGATTTAGAAAATAGGGTTTGAAGTTTTTGCCTAATTCAAAATTAGTACCCAAATGATTGCACATTCTAAAATTTACATTTGTTCCATCAAAAGTTATCGAGTGCAATATGACTCCAGTGTCATGAATAATTTCCAATTTTTTCTAATAAACTACTCTCTTCTCCACTTTTTCTAATAAACTACTTCTCTCTTCTCCACTTAATGCATCGATCAAAAAGTAACCAAATGGGACTTTCCAGTGGCAATTTAATGCTACAAGCATTAAAATTAAAGCGCTCTTTGTTTGCGGAGGATTATCTATATCGGTAATATTACTATTTACTCCTACATCTGCATATCCGTATCGGTTCCCGTCATATACAATTTGCTGTCGAATTGCAATCTCGTCTACAACTAAATTACAAAACATTAAAGTTTTCATTTTATGAACACTTTAATGCTTCTATTATTTCTTTCGTAAAATTTGGCCGGCCATCTAACACAGAAAATCATTTACGAATGGTTGAAGGCTCAGGAAGGTTTAGAAATTTTTTCCGTACATATTTGTACGTTTTTGACGAATAAAAATTCAAAGTTAACGTAAATGATCTTAATTCTGCAGAATATTTCTCTCTTGAACCTTTTTTCCGTTTTAATATTTCATTCATGACCTTTGGAATTTCAGCCTATATATAACAAAAAAAGCTATTTGTAACAAGGATGCAGATGAATATAATGGTAAAAAAGGAAAAAGAAAACGTTGGTCAGTGTTCATTGTCCAATTTTATATTTAGGACCGTTTCAAGTTCATTCACAGGTGCTGCATAAATCGTTTTATTGCATATAAAATATCTAAACATAAACTTAACACAATCTTATATATAAGATTTGATTATGAATACTGGTCTATCTTTCGGCTGCCTACATCCTTCTTGCTTAGACATAAAAATATCTTATTAGCCAATTGTGCTAAGGACATTAAAATCATACAGTACAAGGTCACTGTGAATGGATGAAGGAAAGCAGGATGTAGGTAACCGAGATGTTTCTAAATCTAAAAAATAGACATGTACATTATCTGGCTATTTATTCACATTGATTCATTAATATATAATTAATATATAAGAGGTATAGCTCCAAGAGAAGAAAGCAATGCAAAGAGGACATTATAAAAATGTAGACGTAATAAAATACTACAAATGTAAGATAATAAAATAAATATAACATAATATAAAATAATAAAAAATTGATAAAAAAGGTCATACTAAAATATTGAATGTAGAAGGTTTGTTTTGTACACCAAAAAACTATAAGTGTTTATGCACTCACAGTATTAATTTCGCCATAATAAAACAGAGATAAGTAAATCAGTTGATATTCTGAGTATCTTCGAAGATGCAAATATAACTAACTTATTAGCTGTTTCTATTATTGCAGGTCTGCCATAGATTTATGCAATTTAGTCTGAAAATGGTACTCGATCTGCGGCAATCCCTTTCGGCGCAAATAATATGTTCTCCTATTTCAGCGTAGATCTATAATAGGCTTACAAGAAATTTTTTGAATTGTTAATTCAAAAACTTACATAAAAGTTTATTTACCTTTAAATTTTCAGCAGCCGCTTCCGAGATTAAATTTTTATTTTCTAAATGTTGGGAGCGGTGCATTTGGACACAGCCAATCACAGCACCGTATGATTAGAGACATTTGTAGGGTCCCTTGGAACAGCGACTTGTGATTGGACTGTGTCCAATTGCCCCGTGTCCAACTGATATACACCCTAGGTTACGTTCAGATTCCCTACCCGGGTGCACTCTAATACTAGAAGAGCTATAGTATATGTAACATATACTATAATGTTTCTAGTAATAGAGTGCACCCGGGTAGGGAATCTGAACGCACCCCTAAATGTTTTATTAAACTTTTCATTGTCTTTATGCGACTAATCTATAGCGACATTTCTGCAGTTTTTATTTTTTGTTGTTGTTGTGCAATAGTTTCTTTTGCCAAGTTTAAAGCTCTTCGTGCTTTCCTAGGTGTAGCAAAATGTGGTGATCTAATGTCACCAATAAAACGAGGTTCATGTGCAATCTTCCTTTGTAGGTGTTTGATAACTTGAGCACTGAGTCCCTTCATCTCTCAGTGGCACAAACATATCATCAG